CGATTTCTTCATCAACAGCATCTTCTTGATCTTCGCTGTGTTCAAGCTCAGCAGTCCACGATTCAAGAGTTGAGTAGTAAGGGATATCCTCCCCATATGATTCTAAATCAACTTCTGAAAGCTCCCCGTCATCTAACTTTTGAAGTAGTTCCTCAATGTGATGGTCTGAAAGGCATAACAAGATAATGAATAAAAACAAAGTAGCCCAACACTACTACTAAAACCATACAAGTTGTAAAGAAACTCTTAGAATAAAAATGGAGCTAATTGCATAGTGTATCGTTTTCGATACAAAGATAAAATAAAAGTTTTACTTAGGAAAACATATAAAAAAGCATTAAAATATATAATAACCATAAACACTAAAAACTTACCACGCATTTTGTGAAAAATTCCACACAGAAAACACAGATTCTCTTAATAAATAATAACAATTTGAAACTACGTTTCTCACTAAACTTTTCTATTCCCACCGGACAATTTTGACACAAGAAATGCTATAGGGTATGTTCCGAAATACAACCTGTCCAATGCAAATGACGTCATGAATCGACGCTATCCTGGTGATTCGTTACAAAACATTGGACAGTATATGAAGTCATACTTTTGCGCCATTTGGAAAAGTGTTAGCGATTATTTTGTCATTTTGTGCTCCAAAAATCATTATATCCTCCTAATGGATATACCATCAATTATTCTATAATTTTTTGTATTTGAATAAATAGAAACAAATTCTGGCATGCTTCATTCGGCAGACACACAATTAAAAAATTGTTTTATTATGGCCGGATATCCGACACAATATGGCGGCGGCACGCTAGTACAATAAAGTGTCAAATGATGACGTCATTTGCATTGGACAGTACACTGCGTTGTATTTCGGAACATACCCATAATAGTTGACAGCTGACACTATTTAATTTTATTTTGTTGGCAACAATAAAGGCAAAGGTACTTATGTGTATACAGCCAGCTTCGTGTTATGTAAAAGTACAGAGTAAAAACAATTTAAACTCAGTGTATCATTTTCGATACAAAATGCATTTAAGGGTTAAGCTATCATAAAACCCTTGTTTGGTTTAATTGGTCGCTATTTGTATTAATTGAAATAATATTTAGACCAACCAAAATTATAATTTTCTCAAAAAAATGGAATGTTAACAAATATTAATTTTTTCACCCAGTAATACCTCAGTATAAAAAAAAACGTGATCTCGGAGGAATGTTCACGAGATCAAAATGAAGTCTAATAGTTTATTAAAAGATATCAAAATATGAGTCATTGTCACTCGCATCATTACGATTATTATTTTTAAATAAATATATATTATCATGGGTAGGAAAAAAATATTTCGAACCCACATGTGAAGTTCGCCACCACCCATTGGGGCAGCGCGGCAGAAACTTCATTGCCCTAAAACCCTCTCAGAAATGAGGGGAGGCCTGTGCCAAGCAGTGGGACGTTTATAGGCTGTAACTTTACTTTTACTTTACTTTATGGGTAGGATCAATCTTAAGCACTGACGAGACTCCTGTTGAAGCAAAATTAAAGTATCGTTGATTGTCTGGATGCAATCTAATATCCGATAAAATATTAACTTTATTTTTGGGTTTTGTTGTAATTTCTGATGATAGCGAGTTACTTTCTTCATTAATACAGGAACTATTGTCACTTTCAGCATAAACGATCTCTTCATCAGTGTCAGAAGATTCGCAATCAAATGTTATACCCTTTTTTACCTATCTTTGTTGGTTTATTCTCTTTTTTACTTTTTTATATCTGTCAGACGTCAATTTTTTTTTCTATCATAATCTTCTTTCTTCCTTTAATTTTTATATCATAATCGTCTTTCTTCTTTTCCTTTTTTTTTGAAAAATACAACTTTTGTTGTTTAAAAATTAGAGTAGTTCTGATTATTTATGAATTAAATTTATTTTACTGACTTCCTTGTTTTATTTGCAGTGAAGAAAAAACTGCTAGAAAAGAGTAAACACCACAACGACGTATTATAACGACATATTAAACGTTATTTAAGTAGTAGTAAGTAATTACATACTTAATTGTTTTTTGTGAACTAAGCTTAACAATTCCTCAGTTTCGTAACGTTACGCAATAATAATAACGAAATTGAGAATAAAATCTGAGAAATTATAACATCTAAAACTATTTTAACGTAAACCAAGTGTTTCACAAACAAACACCGAGTGTATTCGTTATGATATTATAAAAAATAATAAAAGGATTTAATTAGGAAACAAAAATTATAATAAACTTTCCAAAATAAAAGCTGAGATCACCCTGAGATAGTTTTTGTGAATATTCACGTGATAACAAATCTTGAGTCCACGGCATAGGTCCACAGTTGCGACCATAGAGTAGAGTAATATACAACACCAAACCAAATTAAATATGTCCACCGGGTTACCGGAATGATAAATGAAAGCGTCTATTTCGCACGACACGACACAAACATACAATGTGATTCCAGCATGAAAATCTAAACAGACAACAAAGAAACAGAGGGCTAATTCTAACTCAACCAAACTTATTGTAGCAACATCCGAAAATCACTTATAAACTATAATAAAACAACAACTTGCTCAGCGCCGGTAGCCATTATGTCATATAAAGTTGCTACTTGCGATTTCCAGAATAACCAGAATTGGTGCGCTAGATAGCGCACCTTTTAGAATTTAATGTTCGAAAGTTTATGGGGATATAGTACAAGATGGTACTAGTGTCTTTGCAAATTATTGAACCCCAACCTAAAAGTAAAAAAAAGTATGAAAGTGTACCCCCGTGGTTGCGACTAAAACACAATAGCCGCGGCGCGGCGGCAATAATTTTGACGTAGTTACTAGTGTTGCCGGAATAGAAAAACATATTTCTACTCTTTTAAATAAATGCGTTCTTAATTTTACTACACGTTACGAAACCTGAGTAACGCAACGTTATAATTTTGGGACATTATTAATTTAATTAAAATAAATTATTTTTTAAATGACTTACGAATGAATTCGGTCGAGTTTAATTGCTTGATTCAGCAGGAATAATATGGTCATAGCCATGTTATATAAAGCTTATTAAGGGGAAATATAATGTCAAATGGCTTAGCAAGATCATTCGTTATGCCGAAAATATTTTGAAATAAATATATGGTAAAGTTGAGGATTAATGTTAATGATTATGTTAGACGAAAACACGATTTCGTAAAATTTTCTCGATAGAAAAAAAATCCAAAGTTACCTCCAAAATAAACAATAAACCGCTGTTATTCATAAAATACTTTAAATAAGATCATGAAACTTTGCATACTAACTGAACTAACTATAAAGCAGTGCTTATGTTATTTACTTTTTTTAAAATACCATTATTTTCACTGTAAAAAGATGTGATGAGACTGTGGTTTGGGCAATGCGTTTTAGAAGGTTTTGGACTGACGACAGGTTATAAAACAAAATTCACTAGACGTAAAATATCCCGACCAGGGCCGAAGAGCAGCGACAAATATGTGGACGACTAGTACTGGGATTGTCAATACGCCTGTCAAACGTGATGAATAAGAAAAATCCTTCATCCAACGGGAGAGATCCATGTCAAGCAGTAGACTTTTAAAAGCTGATGAGGAAGGAGAAACTGCAGAAAAAAAGCTGAAAGCAATTATTTGCGTAATAAAGTTGTTTGGAAGAAATTGCTCCCAGAACGATATGATGCCTATTGATCCTTTTTATTTATTTCATTTTATTTTTGTTTCAACATGTATTGTTTTACAATAAATAATACAAAGATTGTATTATTGATTGAAAAACCACATTAAAATAGTTTACAATTTTATAATAATTTCATTTCTTATTTCGCCGTTAGGGAAATCCAAAAATCCTTAAGCAGCTAAAATTGTGCTATCAAAAATATAAGATACATGGGAGAATTTCAAACAATTCTTCATCTTGTCATTCTTGATTTTACCTTCATAAGGATAGAATTGCCAAAAATACTGAAACACGTGTCTCCATAGAAATTTGAACATCCCTTACGCTGGGTAAGGGGTTGCTTTGAAAAATCGTAAAATACGTATTCATTTATTTTATTTACCGTGTACTTTCAATTGGTTTTGAGTCAATCGCCCCGAAAACATTAATACAAACTGTTGGTTAAAATAGGAAATTTTACCCACTTTAAGGGTAGAATTTTTCAAAATCGTTTCTTCGTGGGTGCTTTCGTAGTAAAAGGTACCCAGTTTCACCTTTCTACGTCAGTGGTTTGGGCAATGCGTTTTAAAATATACGTATGTCATATTAACTTCGTACCCCCGTTTTGCATTATTATGTTTAAAAAACTATTATTGTCAACCATCCCAGGCTCCCAGGCCACCGTAAGTATAATCATCTTCTTGAGTCTTATATTTTAAAGTTGCAATGCGAACCTTTTCATCATGACAACGATGTAATTCTGCTAGTTTGCCCTTTTCTGGTGATTTTGTAGGGACGCCTCAGTAACTAAAGAAGATATTCATCTCCACTTATATCTGTTTTGCAGTCTATATAGATGTTCTGTTTTCTGTAAATGCTTTGCCTTAAATACAAACATTGTATTAATATGCCATGTAGACAGAAAATTCATACTCTGGTTTTAAGCTTTTTCTTTTATCATTCCAACTAAAGGTTTCCTATTAGAAAGGACCTGGAATAGAATGTTCTCAGTATCTTCCTTAATGATTCTATACAAAGGACGTGATTTAAGCCATGTCAAGATTTGTGTCAGCAATATAATTATATATGCCAAACCCAATTTCCAAGACTTGTGACAGAGAACAGCGTTACTATTGCGAACTTATTAGCTTCGTTCTCACCAAATCGTCTGTCGAGCGTGGTAATTATGAGCAATGCTTTGAAAACTACACGACTGGATGCGCATTCTTGAAGAAGTCACGTCTAACGTGGGATTTTAATTAACTTTAAATATAAAATAGAAGTATACGTTTTTAAATTTCTTTTCGCAGGTGTGTTGTTCGACAACAACCGATGATAGAGTCGAAGTCGTCGATAATGGAGGGAATAAGCATGGAATGACTGATATTATCGCAAATGGCGGCCCACCCGACGTGAGAACACATCCAAATCTTAGCTTATTACCCACGCAGTGTGGAGTCATTGAAAGTGATAGAATATTTGGTGGAAACAGGACGCGCCTATATGAGATGCCTTGGATGGTGCTGATCGCATACGATTCAGGTACTATTTATCAAATTTAAGTTGGCTTAATATACCTTTGAAACGTTTCAGAGGCTCGTTTAGTTACGAATCAAGTCAATAGTATTTTTGCTTTTCGGTTTAAATGATAAACGAAAGAGATTCCTATAAATACAGGCTAAGAACGTATTCCATATTAATCCTGTAGCCATAACTTGGAACTGATTACAGAAATGCAGTCATATAAAAATAATAAAGTAAACAATATTACATTTATTTCTCAATAAACTTTTTCACCTGTAATTATTGCATGATATTCTCATCATAATCTAATAAGCTTTCCGAAAATCATATTTTTTATCAACATTTTACTTAGTAGAGCTCTCAGACGAAATAAAAACTCAAGACAGAGCGCTGTCAACAATGAAGTGAGGTCGGTTTGGTAAACATGTGTGCACTAAGTGAGTGTTGCCGTGCAGTAAAAAGGTATTGCCCTAATATATTATTAAAATTTTATTTATCAGGATGAACGGATAAGTAAAAAGATAAGTTGACAATTTTTTAATATCTTTATTTGGGATGGAAACCTTAAAAAAAATAGATTTTTGAAGTGATGATAAAACATGGAAAAACAAAAAAAATGCCTATTTACACTTACATTATTTTTATAGAATAGGCTGACAAACGAGCACACAGTCCACCTGATGGTAAGTAGTTGCTGCGGCCCATAGACATCTACATCTATCTTCCATTACAAATCAAAATGCAGATGCGTTGTCACCCGTGAGGACTGAGATGGAATGCCTCATTTCCAGTAAAAAGGGTCTCCGGTTCTCTACACTCACCATACGAAATACAGCAGCATTAAGCTACTATTTCACGCTGGTATTCTGTGAGAGCGTGGTCCTTCCCCGGTCGAGCCGACCCATTCGAGCTACAACTATACTACTAATATAACTGCAGCATGGCTCTACCACGTAAAATATAAAATACATTAATTTTATGAATATTAAAAATAAAAAATAAATAGTTAAATGAACTTGTTACATTAAGTTTTGCGTACATTAATAACATACTAAATAAATGGGGACTACAGTGACGCTTACTAGTGGTAACACTTGTTGAGATTTTATGTTCCAAGCTGTCATAATAAATAATAAAAATGATTTATTTACAACACAATTCGGCATTTTTTCTTTAAGAACTGCGAATTATTATGGCGTGACGCTCCGTGCGCTGGAATAACTCGAATGACAAGGTAAGGCGTAGTTTCGTTTTATGTGTGTGCGTGAAACTGTGTATGTACAAGGCGAGGCGTAGTTTTGCCGGTCTCAGTGCGTTGTTCGGCGGGGCTCTGTCTTGAGTTTTTATTTCGTCTGAGACCGTTTCGTCTGAGACTGTTACCTCAGACGAAATAAAAACTCAAGACAGAGCGCTGTCAACAATGAAGTGAGGCTGATTTGGTAAACATGTGTGCACTAAGTGAGTGTTCCCGTGCAGTAAAAACTTATTACCCTAATATATTTTTGTCTAAGTACTATCAGGATGAATGGATAAGTAAAAAGATAAGTTGGCAATTTTTTAATTGTATATCTCACTATAAGAAGTAGTATGTAAGTATGTTTATTTCGACTAAGTAGGGCAAAAAGTAAATCAATAGTAATATGAAAGAAACATTGTTTTTATTTTAATAGCCTTTTTGTTCGGTCAATTTTTTGTACCAATCCGTTTCGTACCACACAACGAAGTTTTTTATTTGTGTAATAAAAATCGTCATCGTCAAAATGTGTCGAACAAACTACGCTGCGCACCGTTGGATTCCTCGATGGATCATTCCGGCTAACTCGAATCACTTCTATCCACTTATCTTTAATGTCTTTATTTCGGATGGGGAACCTTAAAAACATAGATTTTTGAAGTGATGATAAAAAACAAAAAAAATTGCCTATTTACACTTACATTAATTTTATGAATATTAAAAGTAAAATAGAAATGGGTAAATGAACGTGTTACATTAAGTTTCGCGTCACATTAATAACTTACTGAATAAATGGGGACTACTGTGACGCTTACTAGTGGCAACACTTGTGGAGGTTTTATGTTCCAAGCTGTCATAATAAATAATAAATATGATTTATTAAAAATTTCGATTTTTATGTTTACTTACGTATGAATTGTGATTCCATCCTGTTTTTTATATCTGGAAGATTGGTTTTTACACCCTTTTACAACACTATTCGGCCTTTTTTCTTTAAAAACTGCGAATTATTATAGCGTGACACTCCGTGCGCTGGAATAGCTTGAATGACAAGGTAAGGCGTAGTTTCGTACTGGCTATACAAGTTGGCCGAACGAAGGCGAGCACCAACGTATAGACAGCCCATTTGTCCAGCCTCGCCATTGTTTGGTTCATTTAGTTATATGCATATTAAATAAATAGCAGAAGCTGCAATAAATTTTACGTCGTCCATATCATACCGATTCTCAATGACGACTATTTACGGCCAACATGTAGACAGCTCCACAAAAACTCGTGAACACTGGCCTTGGAATTGGTCTCTTTTGAACTTGACCAACGTGTAGAGTGTAGCACTCGCCTTGTACCAATTTGCCTACGCTCGCGTTGGCTGAGATTTGGCCAACATGTATTGCCGGTGTTATATGTGTGTGCATGAAACTGTGTATGTATAAGGCGAGGCGTAGTTTTACCGGCTCAGTGCGTTGTTCGGTGGGGCTCTGTCTTGAGTTTTATTTCGTCTGAGGTTAGGACTATTACGTTGTAGCAAGACTTGTTAATTTAAATAATACTAGTTTTTACGGATTTTGTCGCGTATATTTAACTTTTAAATACATATTAAAATACATATTAACTTTTTATATACAATACCTTACAGGGGAGACTCCACTGTGATCATGGGTGCTGTAAAGTGCTCGAAACGTCGGGTATTTAAAAAGTTAAATATACGCGATAAAATCCATAAACACTAGTATTATTTAAGGCCGAATACGTCGCGATTGACCTTGCTCGTTTCGCAGCAAACCACGCGCCGTCTATCGAACATCACTTGTGTTACCCGTACGCTTTGTTTATATAGACATGTATAATATAATCAAAGCCGTACGGGCTTTGATTATATTATATTTGACGACATGAGCTAGCTCAGTATGCAGAGTAATGAACAGCACAGAGAGCATTGCTTACTTCTTAATTAAATCTTTCTTATTTATAATATTAGTTCCTATAGATTATAAATTCTGTACTTTATTCGTTATAAAATATTGTTCTAAAAGTTATTGGATTGAATTGAAATCGATTTTTTTCTTAATTGGTGCATCGTACGTAAAGAACCACATATAACTGAAAATGTTTGTTCTTGTGAGTCTTACAAGATGCCGTAATGCAAATTGCATAAATAATAAAGAAAAAAAAACGAAAAAGTCGGTGATTGCCCCATAGTGGGGATAGGTACTGTGTATGTAAATTCTCACAAGAATACTCCAACTGGTCAATCACTTCACATCGAAGTATTTCAGTTTTTCTCAATTATGTACTTACCCCATGCTTTCGGACAATACATTAACTATGACATTATTTGCGGTCTCTGTGCTTGCACTACTCTGTACCTATTAGATTCTTTTCCGACTCGGACGTGATATTTACATTTTTAGTGTTTCTCACTTGCCCAGAAAAGCATAAATGATCAGTTTGGCTAATGTAAATGAGTAAAAATGCAGCCTATTAGGCAGCCTCAAACAAAAAATTACCTTACAAAAAATATAAGTAACCTCAAAATACAACATTCGAGCAGTGTTCATGCGATAAACTCTCTTTGTTTTACCACTTAGGTAACATTTATTTCTTTTCTTACCCATATTTACATTTATAGTCACTTAAACGCGTATAAAACACTAAATTAACGATTTTCGCTAGAAACGCAACAACGAGTCCATTTCTGCATAGCCTGCGCCAAATTGTCACCAATCTTAACGAAAAAAAAAAAAAAATAGGTAAAAAAAGAAGACCAAAAAATTTAAAAATAAGAATAAAAAAAAAATAACACGTTGAAGCGCCTGGTAATTCATTACGGCAAACTTTTATCTGGCAATATACGATATTATTATTAGGTGTTTTAATTAAAACGAATTATGTTAATAAATAATATTTTGTATCGAAAATAAAGACGACAGGCACCTTCGGAATCACAATACAAACATTTTTACGTAAAAGAATTTTTCCTAAATTAAAATTCACAGAGTTTTGGAAGAACAATCATTTTTAAATATCATTTCTTAACATTTTTTTATTTGTTGGTATATTCATTTATTTTAAAATTTTAAAACAGCGGGCACCTTGTGAAGGAACCGAACAAACCTACAAAAATGTTTTAACGGTTAGAATTACTTCAGGTCAAAGTTGTAGTGAAGAGAAATACATTAAATTTCGCCAGTTCTCTTCAGTATTCGGCCTTAAATGTATAGTGTTCGCGTAAATATAAGAAATCAAGACTTGGTAATGTATATTAATTCAACCAGACCATTACAATTTAATTATTTTCTTAATAAGCTAAAACATTTTATTTTAAACTCTTATGAATATCAAAATTTACCCCCGCTTACCTTGTACTTATACAATTGGGTATATTAAGATCAAATAGTTTTATATAGATTATTCACAGGAAAAATCATTGCAGGTAAAACAATAAAGGTATTGTCTTGTTATTACGCTCGACACATAACCTAAAAATAAAAAAGGCTCAACAATCGATCCTCGTGAGAAGCTCATTTACTTGTAGTCAATAAACTGCATTTATGCAAACCTTTTGTTTACTATTTAAAATATAACATTTTGTTAAATGTAATGTATGGTCATAAATGTCATACTTTGTATGATTAGAAAACTTGACATTTGTAATTTTTAAGGAATGTAATTTATAAATAACGTAATCGTTTATTTACGACGTTTATAATCTAAAATTGCCTAGGTATCTTTTTCAAGCTAAAATAATTTTAAAATTAAAGATATTTTTAAACACGGTGTGATATGTCACGGTAATCCTAAAGTAGTATTAAATAGGTTTTTCTTTGTTACAGCACGTGGCACAAAACTTAGTTGTGGGGGTACACTTATTTCGGAACGGTACGTTCTAACTGCAGCCCACTGTGTGAGCTTCTTAGGAACTAGACTTGCGCTTTCAGGAGTCATCCTTGGCGAATATGATGTCAGGAAAGACCCTGACTGTGAGCGAGTAGAGGGAGAGTTAAACTGCGCACCAAATTCGAGGGTTTGTTCTGTATAGTTGATTGTTAAACGTACCTATAGATGTTACAGTCAAAACTCAAAATCGATCAAAACCACTGACTGCGAACATCAGGCAAAAATGGTTTCGACCGATGCCCTTAGTCAAAAACAGTTTTGACTGCTTTATGTAGGTAGTAGTATATATATATATATATATAAAAAAAATATATACATAAGTCAATGGTCATAAGTGATTTTGACCAACGTTATCAGTTACAAATTGTTTTAACCATAGTTCAATAATTTCAATATTATACTTTAATTTATTTATGGTTAACAATTATATCGTTATAATGTAGGTGGCTTTAGCCAGCCGCACTTCTTAGTGCAAGATTGGTGAAATTTTTTATTAGACGCAAATAGCCTAAATATTCGTTTAATAAAACGTATCAAAGTATATAAAATATATTTAGCAGTCAAAAATAGATTTGACTAACATTTTCAAAACCAATTTTGGAAGGCCTTTTACATAAGAGATGTAAATATATGTATATTTGAGGGGACGGGGAAGCGTTACATATTCAGCGAGATCAGCGCCGGACCCTGCCCCTCGCTCATCATCTGGTACCGAGCTAATTGCCGGCACATGCTTATGTTTTGACTATTTTAGTGAGATTAAAAGTATTTCGTTGTTATGCTTAGTGAAAACTGATAATTATATGATAAGAATGAGTGGCAGGAGATCTACTATACTATTTGGACTTATTTTAGAGAAACTGACGACCAAAGTAAAGTGAAATGTACTCATTGTTATCATCATCATCATCATCATTACAGCCCTTCACAAGTCCACTGCTGAACATAAGCCTCCCCCAAGTAATGCCACAAAGCACGGTCCTGGGCCACCTGTAGCCATCGACTTCCTGCATGTCTTACCAGGTCATCACTCCATCTAGTGGGGGGTCGCCCTACACTACGCCTACCAGTACGAGGCTGCCACTCGAGAACCTTTCTTTCCCATCGGTTATCGGTTCTTCTAACTATATGGCCGGCCCATTTCCACTTCAGCTTACTAATCCGTTGGGCTTTGTCGGTCACTCTGGTTTTACTGCGGATATCCTCATTTCTGAGTTTATCACGTAGAGAAACTCCGAGCATAACCCTCTCCATAGCTCGCTGAGTGACCTTGAGCGTCCTCATACGGCCAGCAGTGAAGGACCACGTCTCAGATCCGTAAGTCATCACTGGCAACACGCACTGGTTGTACAATTTAGTTTTCAGAGATTGAGGTATACCTGACGAGAAGATGTGTCGTAATTTCCCGAACGCTGCCCAGCCGAGTTGAATCCGTCGATTGACCTCTCGGTCGAAGTTGGACTTACCTAGTCGGACTATTTGTCCCAGGTAAACGTACTCGTCAACAACTTCGAGCATAGTGCTCCCAACAACTACCGGCATAGGTGTGACATGGACATTAAACATGATCTTTGTTTTGTACATGTTCATCTTAAGACCTATCCGTTGGGAGACACCATTGAGGTCATTGAGCATAGTGCTAAGGTCCTCCAGCGATTCTGCCATAAGGACTATATCGTCGGCAAATCGAAGGTGAGTGATGTACTCGCCATTGATGCTAATACCGTATCCTTTCCAGTCCAGTAGCTTGAAAACGTCTTCCAACGCAGCGGTGAAGAGTTTCGGGGATATAACATCACCCTGTCTTACACCTCTCTGCAGTCGGATAGGTTTCGAACTCTGGTTCTGTACTCGGATAGCCATCGTAACCCTACTGTACAAACACTTCAGGACTTCGATATACCGACAGTCAACTTGGCACCGCTGAAGGGACTGTAGCACCGCCCAAATTTCGACAGAATCAAAGGCTTTCTCATAGTCCACATACGCCAGGCAAAGTGGCAGATTGTACTCTTCGGTCTTCTGTACAATCTGTCGCAGGGTATGTATGTGGTCTATGGTACTGAAGCCTTTTCGGAAACCGGCTTGTTCGGGAGGCTGGAAGTCGTCGAGTCTGCGTGCGAGACGATTCGTAATGACTTTCGAAAACAGCACGTAGACGCGGCTCAGAAGGGAAATCGGTCTGTAGAACAAGACCACCGCGCTTCTACTCCACGCCTCCGGAGTAGTGCCACCATGGAGGACGGAATTGAAGAGCTTCTGAAGAACTTCAAGTACCGGTGTTCCAACCGCTTTCAGAAGCTCCGCTGTAATTCCATCCTCACCCGGGGCCTTGCCGTTTTTAAGGTGCTGGAGAGCCATTTTAATCTCGCTCAGACTGACGTCCGGGAAATCATCGGAATAGTGTCGGATAAGACTTGCTCTTGGATCGTTACTCACACTTGCGTGTGGCTCCAACGATGATGTGTACAGCTGCCCATAGAAATGTACTAATGCAATGTAATATTTCTTTGTTTGATTCCAAAAACATTTTATCAAGCTTTATAATTGCTATAATTGTACAGTGTCTCAAAAACGTAGTTTACAATTAGATTTAACCCATAAATAAAATATACTTTCAACAGTAAAATTATGAAAGACATGGCATTACTAAATTCGTACATTTCAATACAGCGGACACTTTAAATAGGTACCATTTTAAGGAATGTTCGATGATCTAGCCGATTATTCGGCCGAATGCGAATATTCGGTAAAGCTGCCGAATATGCCGAATACCGAATATGAAACGAATATTCCGCCTATCTCTAGTTTTTTTTAATGATTTTTTTAAATCGGATTTTGAGGCTATGTTTTCGTAATGTTTTTGATATTACAAACCCGATTTATGTGGGGAGAGAGTTTGGGCGAATAATAGAGCCCCTCCCCCTTATATCACACAACGTGGCGTAGTCGACGGAGCCTTGCGAATTGCAGAATTTGAAGTAACCTTACACGGAGATGGCAGGGTCTTGCTACACTCGTTTCGCTCGTTCGCTAACCCTGCCGTCCCCTTGAAACCTAAACTGTCCGAGTCGGGGTGCTCCAAGTTCCCGAGCTCACTTCGTGCAGTCAAAAGTTGTTTTGACCGGTTATGAGTTTTGACCGTAAAATACATATCATGTTTACTAAGAACCTCACCATTTAAGGCATAATTTTATTAAAAGTTCTATTTACTTTTTCAGAATGTAACAATTGAAAGTGTGATAGCACACCCGGGATACAATCCTCAGGACCTGGTCGATGATATAGCACTGGTGAGGCTATCCGAACGAGCTGACTTTACTTTAGGTAAGCGATTTCCGTTACTTACTTTTTATTTAATATTATCATAAACTATAAAACAGCCTTTCTGTGCAATTAACAGCTAAAATTTTAGGGTCTTTTTAAAACATTACCTTGAGTTAAGAGAGAGGGGAATGAGAATTTGAAATCGTCTCAACTGTTTCCGAGAAGTCAACCTACATTCAAACATACGATTTGAACCAACTCTTTTTGAACTTATTTTAAAACATTACCTTAAGTTAAGAAAGAGAGAATTTCAAATCAGCGCATCTGTTTCCGAGAAATCGGCAAAAATACATTAAACCATACGATTTGGATCCTCTCCTCTTTCGAATCTTCTTAAAACATCGTTGACGGCGCTTAAAAGGACTAACCTAGATTGAACTAATAATCATTATTGAAATACAATAATAAGGCATAAAACACTCACGCCTGTCACCCAGAGGGGTAGGCAGAGACTACGGACTTCCATTTGGCACGATCCTGACATACCTCTTTCGCCTCCTTTACATCCATATATCTACGCATACATGCTCGTCGGTTAAGGGTACTTCTAACGTGGCCCATTTTCAAAATATCGCCAATTTGGTCGATAAACTTTTTCCTAGGGCGTCCCTTCCCGACTCGGCCATTCACATCTGCCATATAAATTTGCTTTGTCACTCTTTCCTCATTCATTCTTTCTACGTGACCAAACCACCGAAGCATTCCTTTCTTAATCCTGGTCACAACATCATCTTGCATACCACATTTATCTCTTATCACGCAATTTCTCACCCTGTCATTCAGATTACACCCTAGCATATTCCTTAAAGACCGCATTTCTACAGCATTTATTTTACTTTCGTGCTTCTTCTGCCACACCCAGCTTTCATTACCATACATTAAAGTAGGGACTAACACAGCATTATGAATTACCATACGTGCCTGTTTTGACAAATTCTGGTTCTTCATAATAGAGTGTAGTGCCCCATTCACTCTATTCCCTGCATTTACTCGTCGTTCTATATCCCTATCATATCTACCATCCCTGCTAAATACACATCCCAAATACACAAACTCATCCACTTGCTCAATCAACTCTCCTTCTATTCTTATTTCACATACCGTTTTGCTTTCTTCTCTTTCAAAAACCATCACTTTCGTCTTACTTGCGTTCACTTTCATTCCCCTTTCTTTTAATTCCCAGTTCATTAATGTAACCATCATTTGCAACTCTGCCGCCGATAACGCAAGTATGACTTGATCATCGGCATACAAAAGGCATTTGACGGTTAACTCGCCCATTCTTAACCCACATTCTTCATCTTTCAAAGTTTGCAAACACCGGTCCATAAATAGGTTGAACAGCCAAGGGGAAGCCACACAGCCCTGTCTGACACCTTTTTGGATGCCAAACCAGTCCGAGTAGACCCCATTGATCCTGACACAAGCACTAGAGTCCCTATAAAGAGACCTTAATGCCTGTATCAAACCAGCGCTCAACCCATATGAGTTCAGTGTTTGCCATAACACATTCCTGTCCACTCTGTCATAAGCCTTTTCCAAGTCCATGAACGCACAAAAAACTTTCTGGTTTTTGGCCAAAAACTTCTCCGCAATCATGCGCATGGAAAAGACTTGATCTGTACACCCCATTCCCTTTCTAAAACCCACTTGCACATCCCAAATTTTTCCATCAGTTTCTTTCATAACTCTTTCAATTAACACCTTAGCATACAGTTTACCCACAATACTAAGCAAGCTGATACCGCGGTAGTTTTTGCAGTCCTGCTGTGACCCTTTTCCTTTATATATTGGTACTATAACTGCTTTACACCAGTCATCCGGTACCCGTTTTAATTCCCAACATAAATTAAACAAGGTGTACAGCAGGCCTGCCACCACTCCCTCTCCAGCCCTTAGCATCTCGAGTGATACTCTATCATATCCAGCTGCCTTACCTGCTTTCATGCTTTTCATTGCTTTCATTATTTCATCTACACTTATCTCCATACCCCTTTCCACTTCTTTCGGAATTTCTAGTTCATTTAATTCATACGACTCTTCACTCATAAACACGCTTTCAAAGTATTCCTTCCATCTGTTTAAATTCGAAACTTCATCATTCAGAATACATCCATTCTCGTCTCTTATAGCATTTATTATAGGCTGTTTTGTATTTCCCCTGGCAGTTCTTACGAGTTTCCAGATAAATTTTTATGTTAGCCTGGAAATTATCAGATATCTTTCTATCATTCTTATCCGTTCTTTCTTTCTTTTTCCTTTCAACAACTTCTTTTACTCTCTTATTTAGACGTCTAAATTCTGCCTTTTTTCTTTCAATCTCATCATTCATACCAGAAGAATTATCAGCTTTGGTTGCTAGTAAATCTAACCATGCTTTCTTCTTTGATTCAACTTCCACCCGTACCTCATCATCCCACCATAACGTATTACTTTTCCTTTCATTTGTTCTCTTACTTACACCGCATACTTCGGTGGCGGTATCCACCAAACCTTTCTTAATATTATCCCACACAGTATTCAAGTCTAAATCATTCATACACAACTCATTCAAACATCTAATATTTTCTCTCAGTCTACATTTATACTTCTCTATCACATCTTCATCTTGTAACTTCTCTATTCTTATACGCTGTAACGCAGTGGTAGATACAGATGTCCGATGCCGCCAACGCTTGAAAAGACCATTAATTCGACATAAGACCAAGTAATGATCCGTCCCTACGTTGGACCCCCGGTAAACCCTTGTATCTACGACTGCGCTCCTCATTCTTTCATCCACAATTACGAAATCTATCATGCTTCTATCATCACCTCTTTCCCATGTATACATGTGAATCTTCTTATGACGAAAAAAAGTATTCGTCACAAAAAGATTCTTTTCCGCACATACGGTGAGGAGGTCTTCACCATTCTCATTTATACTTTCATCACCAAACGTTCCCAATATCCTTTCATAACCAGACCTCTTCACCCCAACCCTTCCATTAAAGTCTCCTAACATAATAATATTTTCATTTTCCTTACATTTTGTCAACACCATCCTTACCATGTCCCAAAACTGCTCTCGGATGTAAGTGGGCTTAGACATGTCTGGGGCGTACACCCCTAGCAGGAACAGTTTCTTTAAGCCCACTTTCATTCGTATCCATAGCAGTCTTGGGCTTACACATTCATACTCTTTCACACATTGACCCATTCTTTCTGAAAGGATGAAACCGACTCCCTGGCATGCCCGTTCGGTCTCGCCTACACCAGACCAATACGCGGTATACGTGCCATGTCCAGTGGCATCCTTTCCCTTTCGTTTCGTCTCATTAACACATAACACATCTATTCCTCTGTCATTCATCATTTCGCATACTTCATCCATCTTATCATTCATTCCTCCACATACATTCAGCGTAGCCAGACGGGTTTCCGCAATCCACTTTTCGCCCCTCCGGGAGACAGAACGTGACCGAAGCCTACGGACGCGAGCGACTCATCCCCCTTGAAATACAATGTACGTAACTAAAGTAATTTTAGCAAATTCTGAATATTAAGACCAATGCACCCGTGAAAATATCCAGAACTCGATTACCCGTCCTATTAAGACCTATTAATACCACTATCGTCACTGTCGATGACAATGATGATAGGTCCTATGAAGTTGCCGTTCTACAGTACTTGCCATTTCAAATCAAAATTATTTTTGTTAAAAAATGAAATTCTTTTTTCAAAATTAGTCATTATTTGTTTACTGATTAGCGTTATATTTTTATGGCATTTGAATCTTTTTCGTTTTGAGCACCGTCGTGGTAGCAACGCGGCACAAGCGGCACGCAACATCAACCACGTTTATGGAGCGAATACTACAAACGAACGCACCACCTGTTATTGGTCTGCCCGCTTCTATTTTGGAAATTTTGACCAAAAACATGAACACCGTGGTCGTCCAAAAACTTAGGTGGACAATGACGAATTAAAGGCGATTGTGGAAGCTGATGATTCTCAACAGCTGAATTAACTGCAGCTTTCGACGTTAGAATCAAAACAATATTGGTCAATTTCGTCGCAAGGTAAAAATGGTTGACAAATGGATGCCGCACGAATTCAATGATCGCCTGCGCGAAGTACACATCGAGACGTGGCTTGCCCTGCACAACAGGCACACAAATAAGGGAATTTTTAGCCAGATCGTTATCTGCGACGAAAAATGGATTGTGTTTGATAACCGCAAGTGCTCAGCAAGTTTGTTGGATCCTGGTTTTAGCACCTAAACAAAGCCCTTAATGAAAACTTACCCCTAGAAAAGTGATGGTAACTATTTAGTGGTCTAGCGCCGGTGTGATTCATCACAGCTTCTTACTAAACGGAATGAGCATTATTGCAGATGTGCACTGTTAAGTATTGAACTCAATGGAGAAGCTCGCACGTCTTCAACCAGATTTGGTCAATCACTCTTTCCCGCTGCTCTGCATGACAACGCGCGATCTCATACTGCACAACAGATGGTTTCCTCGTTACAAGAGCTGGAGTTGGAAGCTATCCGTCATCCGCCGTACTCAACAGATTTTGCGCCTATAGCTTCTTCTTTTTCCAGAATTTGGACAACTTTTTGACTGGTAAAAATTCGGTACCCGAGACAAAATAAAATGCCTTTGAAGGATTTGTTGCCTACCGTCCAGCTGATTTCTTCAAGAAGAGCATCAATAAGTTGCCACTTCGTTGGTAATGATGCATGAAATAAAAAATATAGCAAAAAAATATATAGATTAAGTTATTTAATAAAAAACGGCAATTTCATATATAAAGACCTAATATTAATTTAAAAAATGTTGGACCAAAATTAATACCCGGTTACATGTCTCTCATTCATTAATGAAGGTGTTAATATTTCTAATAACCATTCAGTTAAAAATTTATGTATAAAATATATGTCCCCAATTCAACAGATCATAAAAATAAAGATTTCTTATGTTTACGCTACCATTACACATTTAAATGAAATTAAGTTTTACGGGGTTTCGCGTATATTAAACTTATTTTAAATTTCCGTCGTTTCGAGTACTTTATAGTACCCATGGTCAAGGGGAGACTGAGGTGTTCGACGTCCCAATGTCATAGTGTTTAACGTGACCATGGGTGTTGTAAAGGACTCGAAACTTCGGGAATTTAAAATAAGTTAATATAAGCGATTAAAATCTGTAAAACTTAGTTTCATAAAAAACACTTCATTTAATTGCAGATAGCATGAAACCCATATGTTTGCCGACTACACCAGAACTACAAAATGAGCCACTGGACGGTTTAAAGGGTGTGGTCGCAGGATGGGGAGCCACGGAAAATGGACTACAATCTCCAGTGCTACTCAGCGTCGACCTGCCGATTGTAACCAGGAAGGAATGTCAAGCAGCATACAATGGGTTAGATCTTTATTTATGTTTTAACTTTCTTTCCTTGCAAATAAATTTAAATTAGAACAATAATCACCGGTCTCATTATAACATTCTGGTTTATAATATGTAGATAATAACAAAAAGTAATAATAATATTGCAAAATTTGATGGATTGTTCTAAAATTTAAATCATTCAAACTTGAAATTAGTTCGAGACATGTTATTTTCATATACTTATTGAATTCATAATGACATTGCCGCTATAGATCATCAATGGGTGCGTTTGGCAGAAAAAAGCGCTAGCAAGCGCTTGTAAGCAAAATGGCGATCGTAAGCGGTAAGCGCTGTCAAATCGTAAGTAGCTATTTTCCTCCAGGACACGATGTTAGTTTTAACCGGGGAATCTAACCTAATTTAAAGATATGTTTGTAAAGTATTCATATTAAAAACTTACCAATCATGATAGTTTTTAATAACATGTATATGTCTATTTACGTCATTATATTACTTGAAACTAATATTGCACAAAACAACTTATAAACTCTACTTCAAAACAAACAAATTAAATAAGCAAAATGGCGAATTGTGTCAGCGCTACTGAAGTAGCAATCGTGTCCTGGCCGAAAACTATTTTAGCGCTTGTAAGCGCTTGCTAGCGCTTTTTTCTGCCAAACGCACCCAATGTTTAGAAAATCCAAAAGTGCACGCCTCATGAGCGTTTCATATAATTTTGATGAAAAATAAAATTGTATTCCTGAATTTTAAAATATATTATTTAGGTATTTTAAATTTAACGCTCTATTATTTTAACAGGTAGTGTCACCTACAAGGAAAAAATTAATAATGTTCATCAAAATAAATCGATTATAAAAAGTATAAAATCGATACAGGCTGTATGGTACATTTGTCTTTTGTCTATCAAGGGCTAAAAAAAGTATGAAAGTGCTTTAAGTTTTTAATAGCAATAAACTTATAAAGGATGAAAATCGTTTTATTTACAAACTACGCGTACTAGGCTATTGATATGAAATAGGGAACCAGTTGATGTAATGCTGTAGCTAATAAAAAAGACCCGGTCTCGATACGTCAATTTTTCAACATAACAAAATCAACATTCAGACGTCCACGTAAAAATTTTCCAAACTGTTTTTTCTCAAAGTAGCAATATGAAATGAATTTTCAGAAAGTGGAATGGATTAATTAGACCGTTTTCCTGATATACGGCTACTCATACTATCGTATAAGTGCAATATGGTTATGATAGAGGAATTTTAAGTTTTAAGTACACAAAATTGCTTGACCTTGACGTGTCGAAAGTAAATCACTACATACTTAATAACGCTTCGCGTAAAGGTACGGACAGACGTGCTCATTACTAGCACGAAAGCATGTTTTTATTGAGCAAGTGCTCATTAGTAGCACGTGTGTCGCAGCATTTCTTGATTTTTGATGCAATGAGCATGTTGATATTATGCTCCCGTGAGCGCTGTAAGAAGCGAAAGAGGGAAACGAATCATTAAATGGCCAGCAGCGTCTTTCTAATAATAATTAAAAAATAAAAACAGGGACACTGAGAGACTGAGAGTAACGGTAAATTTTATTGCTTTATATATTTAAATGGACGTAACCAGTAAAAGACCCACGTTTTCTATCTTCAATATGGAAATATTTTGTTTTTAGATCACCACAAATCCACCAAAGACAATTGTGTGCAGGAGGCGTTCAAGACAGGGACTCGTGCGGTGGTGATTCTGGTGGTCCACTTATGTATCCGGGTCGAACACCGGTCGGCGTAAGGTATGACATACAACAACATTCTGTTTAAATTTAATAATATTTGTGCATAGGTATACCTATGCGATATATAAAACGTATATTAATAATATTTGCGAGTATATAAAACATATATTATCACTAGCTTGTCAGGTAAACGTTGTTCTGCCTTTTTCGACGACCCTTTGTCATGTCCTATTAAAAATCCTTAAATTCGCAAAAAAATGTGCATCACTCGTGGGCAAAAAACTATCCTATCTCTCAAGTTGGACCAAACTGCACACGGTGTGTAAATTTGATTAAAATCGGTTAAGTAGTTTCGGAGTCCATCGCGAACAAACAACGTGACACGTAATTTATGTCTATTAAGATATCCAAAAATTGTACAATGTGCGTGTTGGTTACCATCAATAACATCAGCTGTGTAAAGTATATTTTATCTTTAATATTTAAAAAAAAATAGTTTTCGTTTTTAATTGTAAGTTTATGCAATGAAAGCTATTTCATCACGCTTTTATTAGTTTCGCGTGTATCTATGTAATCTATGGAACGGTATCTTTTAATGTAATTTTCACCAACTTGTAGACGGCCGATTGACTTGAAAATTTGCAATTTGCTCGTATGGAGGACTGATGACAATACTGTTGCGCGCCTAAGTTGACGTCTGGCACTAGCGCCATCTAGTGTCAGACGGACGAACTCAAACTTGGGGATGGAACTACAACTCCCATAGTAGCTACTACACCTTCGCTACGTGGGTTCAAGGTGCCACCGTTCGACGGGACTTCTTCCTGGTCAACCCACAAAATCCAGTTCGAGGCTGTTATGAAGGCGAACGGCTGGAATAAAAGTCATGCCATGACTGCTCTCACGCTAGGCCTGCGTGACCAGGCCTTAACTGTTCTGGAAGCTCTCGGTGAGGAAGTGACTGAGCAACTCCTTGAGGCATTGGAGGCGAGATATGGCGCCGCTCACCTGGAACACGTCTTTCGTGCGCAACTTAAAGATCGCGTGCAGCGCATCAACGAAAACCTGCAGCAGTGGGCTCTAGAGGTGGAGAAGCTGGTGCGAAAAGCATACCGGTCTGTACCTGCGCTGATTGAAGGGAGCCTGGTGCAGACATTCATCGACGGCATCCGCGACCTTGAATTCAGAGCTGCTGTGAGGCTCGGGCGCCACGTGACGCTTAAGGACGCCTTGGCCCATGCACTGTAGGTGGAAACCGTGCGGCAGGAACTTCGTTCCCATCGCGTCAGAGAGGTTGCAGCAGCTACAGTTCGCGACCGCAATAAAGGATACAGCTCTAGGTGCTACGGCTGTAGGGAAAGGGGCCATCTTCAATCCAGCTGCCCTAAGCGAACAATAGAAAGGGAAGGTTATCGATCTCGAGAGGGTAGTGCGGCTAACAGCACCGCCCAGCAGCAACAGGGAAACTGGCGGGTGCTGGCTGATGTTAAAAGAGCCCCAAGGATCTCGATCTCACAAACCCATGATGGGAACAGTCAAATCATCCAGGGCGAGGTCAACGGAATGCCGTGTAAACTAACCATAGACACTGGAGCCTCTCGTTCGGTTGTTAGTTCGCAACTTATAAGTCAGTTCCTTGGGGACTCCGCATACAACCGAGAACGCATTAATTTGGTAACAGCTACCGGTCAGCGTATACCCGTCCGAGGGGAGAAGGAGATGGAGTTGAAGCTAGGCAACGTGATCTACCTGCATAATGTCATCGTGGGTGATATAATGCACGATTGGATCCTGGCCCTAGACTTTATGAGGTATAATTGTTGTGAAATTGACGTTAAGCAAGATGTTTTGAAATGTGGACAAGAGGAACTTTTCGTGGAAGGGGCGTTACCAGGGAACGTTAAAGGCTGTACGCCTTAAAAAGATTGTTCTTCCGCCGAGATCGGAAACGATTGTGCTGGTTAGTCTTCCTCGGAATCCTGGGCAACCTCATCGTTGTGTACTTGTGGAAAGGGTGAATAATGACCTTCCATGGAAAGTAGCTTGAACCTTAGTCAGAACCACTAACATCTCAGGAGTACGTGTGCTGAACCTTTGTGACCAGGAACAGATTATAGAAAAAGGCACACTGGTTGGTACATGTGAGGAAGTGGCTTGGTTACCTCGGTGCCAATGTCTATCGAGTGGGACCCCTAGCAAGGATGCACAAACGAGAGTGACCACACTTTTGGAAGACTGTCGCAGCGTTCTCTCCTCGAACGAAATGGTCAAGGCGAAGAAGTTGTTACTCAAGTACGCCGATGTATTCTCATCAAACGATGCTGACATAGGAAAGACTGGCTTAGTTCAACACAAAATAAACACAGGAGAAGAACTGCCTATCCGTCGGCGGCCAAGAAGATTGCCGGTAGCACGTGAAAAGGAAGTGAAAACCATGATTGAGGGAATGGTGAAGGATGGTGTTATTGAACCTTCATCTAGTCCATGGTGTTCACCCGTGGTGCTGGTAAAGAAGAAGGACGGCAGCATGCGGTTCTGTGTTGACTACCGCCATCTGAACGACGTTACAAAGAAGGACAGCTATCCCTTGCCAAGAATTGATGACACGCTGGACATGCTTACAGGAGTAAAGTGGTTTAGCACGCTGGATCTAAAAAGTGACTACTGGCAAGTGGAAATCGACCCTAAGGACAAGGAGAAAACTGCGTCCTCGACGGGAAAGGGTCTGTGGCAATTTAAAATAATGCCGTTTTGGTTGTGCAATGCTCCAGCAACGTTTGAAAGGCAACGTTTGTAATGGAGCTTGTACTTACCGGGCTAATTGGTGATGCCTGTCTGGTCTACTTAGATGACATCATCATCGTGGGCCGCACGTTTGAGGAACACCTCCAAAACCTGGAACGCGTGCTCGTGAAGATTCAGAGTGCCAACCTCAAGTTGAGTCCGAAGAAATGTTCACTATTCAAACGGCAAGTCAACTTTTTGAGGTATGTAGTGTCGGAAGAAGGTATCCGCACGGATCCGGAGAAAATCGCCGCTGTCAAGGATTGGTCGGTTCCAAAAGACAAGACGCAGGTTAGAGCATTTTTGGGTTTGTGCTCCTATTATAGGCGATTTGTGAAGAACTTTGCAGATATAGCCAAACTTCTGAACAAGCTAACCGAGGAGAAGCGACATTTCTACTGGGATGAAAGTTGCAATATCGCATTCTATGAGCTTGAGGACCGTCTGTGCAAAACACCTATTTTGGGATACCTTGATGCAAAGAATTTGTAGTTGACAGAGACGCAAGTGATATAGGAGTTGGCGGTGTGTTGTCTCAACGGAATGGTGACCAAGAGGTCATGATAGCGTACTTCAGCAAGTCGTTGTCAAAACCGGAAAGGAACTATTGTGTCACAAGATGTGAATTGCTAGCTATGGTAAAGTCGTTGCAGCATTTTAGCAAATATCTTCTGGGGCGGAAATTTCACTTACGAACTGACCATGCTGCACTAAAATGGCTATTGCAGTTTAAAAATCAAGAAGTACAAGTTGCGAGGTGGATTGAACTACTGCAGGAATACGACTTTGAGATCGAACATCGCAGCGGAAATCTCATGGCAACGCAGATACATTGTCAAGAAGACTTTGTCCTGAAGATTGCAAACTTTGTACCAGGCAAGAGAGTAAGGAAGTGGTATCCGTAAGGATGCTCAGGACAGACCACCTCAGCAACGAGTGGAATGACAGCTTACAACATGCACAGCAGGAAGATCCGGACATTAAGCTGATTCTGGAATTCCCAAGCCCAAGTGGAGCGACGTCTCGGCGATGAGGGGATGATGGGACAGCTTGCTAATTCAGGATGGAGTCCTGTGCCGTAAATGGGACAATGGTCGAGGAGACAGCTGTCGTTTGCAAATGGTTGTCCCTAAAGCTAAAGTGCCGAATGTTCTACAGATGCACCATAAAGGTTGTTCAGGAGTCCATCTGGGAGTTAAACGAACTCTACTGAAGATCCGAGAACAGTCTTACTGGGTCCATTATCGTGACGATGTCGAGGATTGGTATCGCACATGTTGTGCGGCTGTGAGGAGACCTCAGACACGTAGTAGAGGAGCATCGAAATTGTACAATGTTGGTGCACCATGGGATAGAACAGCCCTTGACATTGCGGCGCCGTTACAGAAAGGCGCAAGAGGGACTCCTAAGATCGTCCATATGGATCGCCTGGCGCGTTATTATAGGGCCGATAATGCTCGGGACGAGCATGTATTAGGAGTATTGCACGCCTAAGTTCACGTCTGGTACTAGCGCCATCTAGTGTCGGGTAACAGAGCGAGGAGAGCTTTCCAGAAAATGACATGACTAATCTTTTAACCAACAACGCCATCTAGTATCGAATTGAAGAACTAAGCTTTCTAGAAGCCTCACACTCGAACTTTCTGCGTCTGGTCGGTCGGCGCCCGTATCTACGGGAGTATTCTGGATATTTCGGCGTAAAAGTGTATTTAATCCCGCTGCATGCCGCGATCGGGGCAGTATTGAATTTAGCGAGACAAGCGAAACTTCGGAGCGAAATAAAGTGAATCAGTGTGGTTAATTATTAGTGTTTTAAGTTTTAATTAGTTTAAAGTGAATTAAAGTGTAAATTTTAGTAATTCAATCGGCAGTTTTTATTGTCACGAACCTCAAGCTCGTAACAATACAATAATAGGGTATTACACACGTTTTCAAAAAGTGTTTTAAATGAATCCTAGAGTGAAGATGAACCACTATAATTTTTATATAAATTTTTTAAACCGAATAGTGCCGTAAAAATTACTTTTAATCTATAGTTTTAAATTTTCGCGTGAAAACTAGCAAGCCGCCATACTGTTCTACTCATGATGTCACGGTCCTGGAAAACCGTACTCGTTTACCGATTTTGCAAAGGAATAAGATACTTATTAGGCGACACCGTGAAAAAATGCACTTCCTTTCATCGAATAGTATAGAACTATGACACCACTAACGAAAGTAGGATTTTGATATAGGTAAATTCATGTCTTTATCTTGAATTTAATTGCTCGAAAAGACGATTGTGTAATTTTGACTCGATCATAATTATTTGCGAAAACACCTCTAAAAATCACTATAGTTGAAATTACAACGAAATCATTTGATCTATATGCTTGGGAATCACTCAAATATATTCATAACATCAATATTCATAATTTACTTGCTCATTATTTTGATAACTTAAATCAATAATTTAAAAAAAATATTTTAAGATTCTGACAATTTCTAAGCGCTTTTAAATGTTATTATTCTGTAGAAGAGTTCTTAAACGACAACGACCTTCATACGAGTAATAATGAATGATAGTTTTAGAATATGTTTAATTACGTAATTACAAGATTCTAATGTTTAAAAAAATAATGTTTTGATATTATTTTATATATTATAAATTTGACCCACTCTTAACCAATATTTAATACAATAAAACAAAAGCAGCAATGCACTGACGGTCAAAATCCCGCCTTAACTTCGATTAATGCTTTGTAACTTATGTATTTAATTAATTAGTTAATTTGATGTAAAATTAGAAAGAAATTAATGACAATTGGATATGTAACATTATATAATTATTGACGTAAGAATAATAATTAATATATGACATTGACCTATAATAATAATCTTACTTGATATAATAATACTTACTTATATTTTTTCTGACACTGTGGCATAATAAATTAATTATCAAATCAAGTAAATAATATTAAACTATTTTATATTTTGTTAAATTAATATATGTTGTTAAATTCGATAAGTATTGTTGTTTAGGTTACTTGACCATTAATATTTGCACACCACTAATGTAGAATATTATGTAGAACGAATTATACTCAAACACCATTGTACAACCATATTCTTGCAAATAAAGATTATTATTATTATCATGAATTTGTATTCCATGATGCCTTTTCAACAAAATTCGGAATAAAATTTAATAATCGTAATGATAACTTAAAAATTTTCGAGATAACACAACACATTAGCTAGTTCTCTTAATCAGTACACAGAACACTAATACCCTTAGGCAGGATCTGTGACGTCACAACAGAACCTAATATGGTGGACAGCGTTTTTAGATTTGAGGCACAGACGAAAAAAAATTCTTAAAATTGAGAAAAAAAATTAATCCCAGTCGTTTCGGAGATCAACCGGGACAAATGTACAGACAGACAGACAGACAAAAATCTTAAAAACTGTTTTCTTGTTTTATAACAAGAACTTACTTATGTACCGTGCATGCATTTAGTAAAAAGCTGTTATTTTGACATTACAAACAGACACTTCATTTTTATTTATTTATATAGATAGGTTATATTTGGCGACTAATGTGAGCACCTTGCTACATCATTACAATGTGCCAGCAGTAACAGGACCCAATAAAAAAATTGTCGTAAAACCTACCTGAATATAATATACCTATAATAAAAAATAAAAACTAGTAATACACATAAGTAACATGTTATGATACTACTCATTCACTACAGTCCGTCATAAATCCTCTGCTGAACTTAGGCCTCCCCCATATATTGCCATAAAGTAAGTTTCAACAGGTTGGCGACCGCCCAACACTGCGTATTCCAGTACAAAACGGCCACTCGAGAACCTTCCTTACCCGTCGATTATAGTGATGATATATTATATATATTAGATTATACATTAATAATAAGTGATTTATAACTTTTTCCATGTTAGGTTTTTTTATTAAGTTTCCGTATTCAGATTTCTGATTGGGAATTTCATCAGCCGATAGCACATATTTCTTGCCTTCCATTGGGCCACGAGGTAAACGTGGTAAGGTATGCAAGTCGATGGATGCAGGTGGCTGTAGGCCGTGCTTTATAGAATCCTTGGGGAAGGCATATGTACGGTAGTGGACTTGTGAAGGGCTGTAATAATGATGGTGATGAATATCACGCACTCACTTCAAAGTAGGAGGAAACAGAATAAAATGCACAAAAGATTGCTAACAGCGTTTTTAATTACATCACTTTTTAACTTTTATTAATATTCACGTATCTTCATTCAACTTTTAATCACAATTACAGGTATGTTCAACGCGGCATCGTCTCCTACGGCTCCAAGCGATGCGGAGTAGGAGGCTTCCCCGGCGTCTACACGAACGTCGCCTATTACATGGACTGGATATTAGACAATATGCACAGTTAAGTTCTGTGTTTAATGTGTTATAACGGATAGTTGTAAGGTGTATCAATAACATATCTTTATCTAAATGTTACATGTGAATATCTAAAAAATAATTAGATTTATGAAATTTAATACTCTTGCGTAAAGCTTTATTCATTTTGGGAGGTACATAAGCATTTATTCGTAATGATCACAGTGGTTATTTTTAGTGACCCGTCACAACTTAAGCACACTACGCTTGTGTCTGTCACAGAGGTTTAAAAGTTCGACTTTTCAACTAAAGTTAAAAATGGTAGCAAATAAAGTAATGGTAGAAAACATTTGCAGTCATCGTGTTAGTTATTAATTTAATATAATATAAACAAAAAATAATTCACAAAGTATTTAAGTAGTATATATCGAAAATTATTTATTTTATAATGTTCAGTACAGGAAAATATGCACATATTTTTTCTTTGCAAATTTTTCTACGGTTATTTCTAACTCAATATTTCTGTTCATCTATCTCGTATTAAGCCTGACAATTAGTAAACTCTAGTGAAGTTAGTATTAGCATTGGACTGTATTAAAATAATCGATAGCGATAAACAATATTTATTAATTTTTATACCTACAGACTTTCGGCAAATTTCCTTTGTTCATCGGCGTAAGCGAAAACTATCCCAAAAAACAATCGCCATCACTTTCCCAGCCGAAAAAATAGTTTCTGCTATTTTGGAGCCAGTTCCCCCTTTGCAGTCCACTGTTTTGACTATATGTTTGTTTCAGGCGTATAATGGTCCATAGTCCAATATCCAAGTTTAAACTACAGTAATTAATCGGCGCCAAAACTCGGCGACAAAAATTTATTGCGCATAAACTGCGCCGTCAGAGCGTTGGAAATGTTCATTTGAACACGTTTTTGATCTAACGTGAGCAATCGCGACACACAAAGCGCTAACAGGTTTCTTATGCCTAAATCTGGATTGAATATGTGACAAACATGTTCTTTGGCCATTTTCATAGCCTCTGTCACTTTAATTCGGCGGTCATGTAGTACCATTTGCTGAAATTTAGCAGTGTTATCGTAAGTAATAGTAGTAGTGCAGTTTTTGGACGTCCCGAATGTTCATCGTCTCCCAAGCTTTTACGGCTACGTTTAAATTCAGCTGCCCAAAATTTCAGTAAGGTAAATGATGCTACAGAGTCCCCATACACAGAGTACAACTCATCTTTGATTTGCATAGGCGTATTGCCTTTCAAATACAAAAATTTAATGAAGCTCCATACTCAATTTTTCCATTTTCACAAAAACACTCACGTGGACTCACTCAAACGACTGTCAAATACAAATAGGCATTGAAAATGGCTGAAATTTTTGGTGCGTAACTGTCAAAAGAAGCACAACTACATTCACTCACTACCTTTATTGACATGTGCTGCCATCTTCACGTTTAAGTTGAAAACTTTTTAGGCCACCTTGGTATATTATGCTATAGCTTAACTTCGTTCTTATCGCATCAGTTACAATAAGCGGCAACGTTACTCAACCAGCCTATACAACGGTACTTGTTTGCAAAGCACATGATATCTTCCTATAATATTATTTATGACCCTATATTATTTTTGCTATCTTGAAATCTAAGGTATTTGTTATCTTGAAATCTAAGTTTAATCGGACGCATACCATTGCGCGGTATCCGAACCGAATATTCGGCCGAACATTATTCGGCAGGATTACCTCGGTACCTAACCAATTTATGTCGAAACTTGTTACCGTAAAGCGCAAGGGATTAGCGCCGGAGCCTTCCCCTCACTCCCCCGCCACACCAGACATGTTATTGCATCATATAGTACTGAGCAAATTGCACATGCTTATGTTTAGAATATTTTTGGGAGAAAAAAAGTATTTCGTTGTATTATTCTTAGTGAACATTGATAAGTATATGATGAAAATGAATGGCAGGAGATCTACTATTTGGACCAGTTTTAGAGAAACTGACGACTGTAATTTAATGTTTCTTTGTTTGATTCCAAACAAAATTTTATCAAGCTTTCTATTTGCTATAACTGGAAATAAATCTACAGTGCCTCAAATACATAACGGTATATATATATATATATATATATATATATATATATATATATATATATTCATATATATATATATATATGTATATATATATGATAGAAGACATTACAATTCTATACTTTTAACCAAAATATACAGTGGATACCTTGAGAGTACCACTTTAACGATTGTTCGGTAATTTAGCCGAAATTCCAAACGAATATTCGGTAATCCTGCCAAATATGCCGAATGCCGAATATAATTAGAAGAATAAGAAAAATAGAATATTCGGCCCACCTCTACTGTCTAACTATTTTTAGCTTCCGATTATGCTCAATCGAGATCACTATTCGTGGTAAAATATATAAATATATGGCGTAAGGAAAAACTGGTCAATTTAATTACTAACTAGATTTTAACTGTAGAACTATCACAAATATTTTTTTCCTTAATTATTTATGATAAAAATTCAATTAACAATCGCAAGCATAATTTTACTACTTACCTACTATCGTTGAATATTGAATCACTATCCTAGAATTTAGGCTACTGAAATTTTTCATAACATTTTGTCGAGAAGTCTCGTTTCCAATCAATCAGTGTCGTCAAGAAAAAATACTTAGAAAATATTTTTCTTCATTTTCTTATGACATGCTAGCTGGTCCGGCAAAAGTTTTTCTGTCCTTTGTGTGTGTGAGTTTGAGTGGCGCGATGAGTTTTCCAGTGTAATTAATAATTATAAATAACTCAAACACACCTATATCTATCGGGTCCTAATTTTGTGATTTTCTTTTTTGACACTATCGTTATCAATTATGTTTTTGTTTTTTTTTTTATAAACGTTACCTCCACACTACGATTTTCTCCTGTATCGTGGGGGCAGTTTACAAACGTAAATTTCACAAGGACAAACATCCAAATATAAGTCATGTTAATCCATAAAAACAGAATTTGTTAATATTTGGCTTTTGATAGGCTGTCATGATGGTGATGATGATAATGGTGATGATATAAAATTAAAAACATAATATGAAAGGTGTAAACGCATCGAATGTATTGATTCAAAAATATATTCGATTTGTTTATACATTATAACAGCTTTAGTACTGATATCAAACATCCCTTAACCGGGTCACTTGACCAAGCAACGTTTAAAGGAAAACACGATCAGTACTTCTTCGACGGAGTTGGGCTAAAATACTAACTAGAGAATGGCCCAGCAAAAATACTAATCAAGAACGTTCCGGATAAGGCGTATTGTAGTAGGAAGTAAACGCACTAGGTAGTTAGAAACCATGAACCCCATCCTTACACCTACCGTCACATCCTAGTAAAGTCCACTGCTGAGCACAGGCCTCCCCCATAGATTGCCTCATAGGGAAGATATTAGCCATAGTCGCCACGCTTGGCAAGCGTTTTGGCAACCGCAGTTTTATTTTTATTTCTAGTCATTATCAGGAACACGCTGCTGCTCATCTCCTGATCTGTTTCCCTCTGCCGTTCCTTACGACACCCACGGGATGATATGGGGTAGTGGATATTCTTACACGACCACCACACGGTTGCATCTTTATTTTTATTCATTACGGCGACGTATTTGACAAAAGACATCTTCTTAAATCTTATTTGACAAACAATAATTATATGTGAAAGGAGAATCATTACGCGACATGTCAATAATTCTAACAAAACCACTCTTTTTAAGACATAAGTTAACTAGCTTTTCGTAAACGTCACCAAGGAAGGACAATACTCTCAACTAATAGCTTTCTACACATCTGTGTAAAACGTTACATTATCAACACCTAGTTATTATTTATGTATATAAAAGTACGTAGTGTGAAGAACAGTAACCATTTACTTTATAACTGTTTGTGTGTTTGTTTATCTCAACAAAGTAAAAGTTTTAACACATAAGTAGCCACATAAATTTCGCTATGATTCTATCAAAAAAGCCACAGGTCGCCCAATCATTTTCCAAGTTAATATGTGTGTGCGGCGGTGCGTGAGTGTTACGTGCGTGCATGCACTGCGCGCGTTTGTGTGTGTGTGTGTGTGTGTGTGTGTGTGTGTGTGTGTGTGTGTGTGTGTGTAATAATACGTTTTGAAATTTTGAGATTTTGCGCTGATTTACATTTTCGATGCCTCCGGGGAGTTAATTTTAGGGTATGGACCCACCTCTCTCTTTTAAATGAAGCTAGAACAACAGAACAACGGAAACTGAAAAATTAATAATTTTAACTATGACATAACTATGACATTGACATTGGGACGTCAAACACCTCAGTCCGCCCCATGGAGGCTAGAGAACAGGAGAACGATCGCTGTAGAAAATATTGTCCCAGAAATATGGACCAATTAAGTGAGGCGCTGCGATCGCTATGTTGTCCCAATAATTTTAATTATTATAAATTATTCCAAATATAAACTATTAATTATTATTGATTTACTATTATTATTATTTATAATATTTTACCATTTTTTAATATTTTTTTGTCAAAAATTAAAAAATTACTTCGCAGACACTACTTAAAGACGGCAGCGCGGCTATAAATTCTACAAATTTTCAGGGACAGGCGGGCTATGCTTTAGCACGTAGCGATCGTTCTCCTGTTCTCTAACCTCCATGGTCCACCCATTAACCATGGGTGCGGTTAAGTACTCGAAACGTCAAGAATATGTAATAAGTTAATATACGCAATAAAATCCGTAAAAACTATTTAAATTTAAATTTGTGGTGTTCGACATAACAAATCATCACCTGTCTCTTTACTATGTCACTGTACGAAAGATGTAAAAAAATGTAGGGTACATTTTGATAGTTACCTTGTGATATTGCTTAGTTCACCCAAAAGGGTAAAATGATAAAAAATGCATAAAGTAACAGCACGACGCTAAAACACGAAAAAGAATAAAATAATTTACTCATAATACTAAAGAGCTTTTGAAGTCGCTGTAGCTATAAAAATAA